AAACACTTTATGGAGGTATCATTTGATTCTGTATTTTTACAGCTGCCTAGCATTTATTATTGGAGAGCTCCTTCTCACAGTGTGTTTCTCTTTCATTTCTAGTCAGGGGGTGTTAATATTATTTTGGAATTATTCGAATTTGAGAGAGTGATAAAGGGCCTCTCTTGAGGGGTTCTTACTAAACAAACCCCTGACTTCTTACTCCTTTAAGGAAAAAATAAGGAAAAAAAAATAAGGAAAAAAAAAAGAAAAAAAAAAGGAAAGAAAGGAAAAAAGGTTTTAGATTTTGAGTTTCTTGGTTTGGGAATCAGAACTATTTGGTGTGGTAACTTTAATACCTTGCATCTTGTCTGGCATTTGGCAGGTGCTCGGAAATGGTCGATGAGTTGAACTGGTTTGGGAAGAGTCAGGGGATTACCCTCGTCCATATACAGATGGGGAAACTGAGGCTCAAAGAACTTGTAGATGTGTTTGCATTGTGTTTTGTACTTCACTAAGGGCTCTCACTCAAGTTAGCTCATTAAGAGTGGGTTTTCACCACCATTATATATAAAGTAAGAAATGTCAGTAAAAAGAGGAGAGTAATGATGTGTTCAACAGACAGTGAATTAGTCATTGCCAGACTCCCCTATATATAGCAAAGCATTCTCTGCTGCTAAGGGACAACTAAAACCTAATGATGAAAAAAATTCAGGTCCTCAGACAATGATAAAAAGAGGATTACTCTTCTAAGGACAAAAACAATCAGAAAAGCTATTGGCTATCTTTGCACTAAAAAAAAGTCGTATAATACATAGAAAACAAACTCACCTACACTATTGGTGTTGGTGTAAATTGGTCCTACTTTAATGGAGAATTTTTGAATATCTACCAAAACCTAAAATGAACAAACCTTTGACAGAGCAATTTGCTTTTATGAATGTATTTCCACTATAGCCCTACTGGCATAAGAGGGCATGTGTATATGAAGAAAAGGATTTAGTGAATGTAAGAATGTTTGCTATGACATTGTATGAGAACAACTTGTAACAGCTTAAGGGTTCATGAACAGACTGATGGCCGCCAAAACTATGAGTTATCTGGGTAGTGTTATTTTACGTAGACATTTGAAGTAGAACAATCTATATATTGACATGAAAAAGTGACCCCAATAAATTATGTCAAAAGCAAGCTGCTGAACGGTTAACTGTTAGTCAACAGTTAACTTTTGATTAACTTTGAGTAAAAAACACTCATCAAAGTATTTGTGATGACTATCTCTGAAAAGTGAGATGAGCTACTTTTTTCACTTTATTCCATACTACTTGATTTTTCAATAGAAATAGGTTAATTTTCACATCCAGATGTTAAAGAGAAGCTGTTCCAACTCTGGCCACTTGAGATTTTTACTTTTTAGCCAAGAATAAGAGGACGCAGGAAATGGATATTTTTGTTCTACTTTGCTATGGTGCCTCACACTGTGTCTGGCACACTGTGGGTGCTCAGTAAGTACCTGGGGAATAAAGGAGTAAGGATGACCAATCCTGGTCACTCTTTCATGAGGTGAGGTGGAAGGACATAAGAACATTTTCTAACCCTAGAATCTGAGCTAGTCGTCAACGGAGAAGCTTATCACATCAATAGGGCTGACTTGTGTTAAAGACTGACTGACTAGATAAACATCAACTCACCAAAAAATTATCTGGGGGTTCTACTTGCATTAGATAAGGATTCTTAATGAGTCCCCACCATGTTTCTTTGAGTGTCTCTTGGGGGTATTTATCTGTCGGGTTTGGAGGTTACAGAAGCATAAAGAGGAAGAAACCCCAGACATGCCAATTCACATCCTGAACCTCCTCTGTACCACTCTCATAAGGGGTCCAGATTGAGCACTTCCTGGAACAGTGCTTTCACTTGCTCTGGGGGAATTCTTGCCTGGTGAGCCCTAAATCCCAGAAAGTTCCTGACTGCACAGAACTGGAATCTGTCCCTTTGAAGAACTGACCCACAGACCCAACTCTGCCCCCAGAGTCACATACAATGGATCTAAGCAGCTCTGCAGAATAGTTTAAGAGAATGGGCTGTGCCACACCTGCCCTGAACTCTACCTTCCACGTGTAGGTGCCCTGTGACCCTTAGGCAAAGATTAGCAACTCTCTCTAATCCTAAATTTCTTCTTTACAAAATGGGGATGATTATAGTTTCTACCCTATGGGGTTGTTTTAAGAAGATAACAAAGTAACCTATGCAAGCTGCCCATCCCAATGTATGTCACAAAATGCCCAACAAAGAATATCAGTACAATTTTCATAGGCCTCTTCCATGAGGTATTCCATGAGGCAGGAAGGAAGGAAGAGGCACAAAATAGCAAAGTTAACATATGAGGTGTCTGTCAGTAAAATGCATGCCTGTGGACCTTGATTTCAAGTCTCCTCTGTTTTCTTCACTTAGAAACAAATTAGAAAAACACTCCCAGTAGGAGGAGGGAAATTTCAGACCATTAATTTAGCAAAAACAAAAAGCCTGCACTTTCACAATTATAGACACTAACTTATAAAAGTAACTCCGGGTGTTTGAGAATCTCACTCACCTCCGGGGAACACAAGGAAAGAGCTCCCTCAGGGACTTCTCTCAAAAATTGCCTCCCTGAAGCTGGCTAATATTCACGTAGCTGTCAGGGGAGGCACGAGTTTTCTTCAGCCATTCTGAAACTTCTCTCAGGGCTAATGACTGCCTATCAGCCTGGATTTGACTTTATGCTATTATTGAAGACGTAAATTGTAAGTCCTATATATAGTCAGGCGTGAATGGGGGGAACACAACACAGACCTGTATTTACGATACACATCCGTATTCTGTGCCATATGAAACTTAACAGACTAAGAGACTTTAGGATTAGGACTCATTTTTGACCTGGCCACTAACTCCATCTGTCACCTCTTAGGATCTCAGTTGACTCATCTATAAAATGGTTACAACTGAGAATTGTTATATTCTAAGGAGTTCTAGGTTTGCACAGCTGTGCTGGGGGCTGCTTTAACAGGGCCTCAGGCTTCTCTCTCAAGTACAGCAGCAATATTTAAAAAAAAAAAAAAAAGCCTGTTACATATATTAGGATTCTACCTAAGAATTCATTTTAAAAATGAGTCTTTTTCTCCAAAAGATATTTGAACATCACTGAATCCCAAGATCCTCAAGGTTGGGGTCCCTTTTCTCGTCACTGTTTTTCAGAGGTGGGGAGAGAGTGATGAGAACAAGGAGGAGGAGGAGGGAGGGAGGGAGTGGTGAGAAGAGACCATGGTGACAAACTGTAACTTCTGGGTCTTACCAGCCATGGTCTGGGAACAGGGTATTCTGATTAAGTAATGATTATTACTCACTTTCTTCCTAAGTATGTTACCTAACAATATCATAATAGTGGATATGAATAAATCCCTTTATACCATTCAGTGTGTACCTAACTAATGCCCAGGACATTTAAAATGACGTCCTACCCACTCCACCCCAGTTGCCAGCTGCAGGTTTAAATCCTTAATGGAGAGAAAATCTGTAGCCCTCCAAGTCAACGGCTCCTTCCTTCCAGGAACTGTCTAGTGGCATCCTTACAACAAAAGAGCTTAAGATGGAAAGTAATCAGTTTGGAGGGTGGTATCAGCAATCATTGAGACCAGTCTTGAACTCACAGCAGGGGAGTTCATGGAGGAGTCCCGACAGCAGAAGAGGTTCCAGATGCTTCTCTTCCCGTCAGGGACCCACACATGTTCCTTCTGGCAAGGTCAGCCTACACAGGGCAGACCCCTGATGGGAGCCAGTCCCTTTACTGGAGAAAAATGTGAGCTGCTCAAGGAAGACTGCTAGAAGGGCATTACGGAGCCGCCCTGACCTGGTGAAGGTTTGGGGGAGGAGGAAGCATTTATAGGAAAACAGTGGGGTTATGTGGGGGCTCTGTCTGAGGGAAGAAGGAGCCTCCTGGATCTCAGCGGCGGCTGGAGAGCACAACTGCGGAGCTCAGCTGTGTCAACAGAACCACAGCGGCCTGCATGTTGGGCTTTGACCTCCATCTGCAGGGACGGTGGGGAGCAGTGGAAAGGGGGCCGGACGCAGAATCACAAGACAGGTGTGACTTTCAGCCCCAGGAGAAGGTGCTTCATTTCTCTGAACCACTATTTCCCTAACTGAAAAACGAGAATAAAAATACCCACAGGATTGTCTGTGTTTTAGGCACGTTGTGTGGTTTAAATAAAAGAGGGTCTGAGAAGCTTTTGGTAAATGAGAAAGCCCCATACACATGTAAATTATATTCCATGGCTTATGACACGGTTGCCCACATGTGATCCTTAAGAAACCTCCAAAAGCTTGCTCAGATCACTTTCCTAAGATACTAATATAAAAGGCCAGTGACTTATCAAATAAGTGAAGTGCTTCACAGTGTTCACTAATTTTCCAGTCAGTCTTCATTACAAAAACCATGGTATCTGATATTCTAGAAAGAACTATATATAAAATTATAAATCTAATTGTATATGAAAAAATATACATATTATAAAATCTAATTATATGTGATTTCAAAAAATGCAACTAGGTGATTCTTAATTCCTATAGTGGCAGTTGATCTTGTAAATGCATACACTTGTATCAGAAAGTTTTACTGTACCATACGCTCATTCATACGTGGAATTTAAGAAACAAACCAAACGGACAAATTAAAAAAAGAGACAAAACAAAAAAACCAGACTCTCAAATACAGAGAACAAGAGGGTGGTTGCCAGAAGGGAGGTGGGTGGGGGGATGGACGAAACAGATAAAGGGGATTAAGAGTACGCTTATTGTGATGAGCACTGATTAGTGTATAGAATTGCTGAATCACTATATTGTACACCTGAAACTAATATGACACTATATGTTGCTGACACTTCGATAAAAAAAAAATTCTCATCATAAGCAAAAAAAAAAAAAAAAAAAAAATAAATATATATATATATATATATATATATATATATTTTTTATAAAAGTAGCCTAAATCCAGGTCTCTATTTCACAACTTCAGAAAGTAGGGTATGTTTTGCTCCTATTTTAGACCGTTGCATGTTGGGGGTCATCCACGTAGAATGAGATGTTAGAAGACCATGGAGCTCAGCTTCCTACAGAAGACCATCAGCTCTTATGATCGGGAAGTCCTCTGGAACAATCCTCTTCATTCTCCTCTGAGTAGGAGAGGTTCAGGGCACTCATCACGGGATGGATCCAGGATGTCGTCTGTGTTACATGACTTGAGAAGAACAAGGAATGCAATTATAATCCAAAAGACTGCCTGTCCTTCTACCCGTCCACGCACGTCCTGATCCCAGTGACACTGCTTCCTCCCTACGACAGCCCCTCGTGACAGGAAGCAACTGGAACTCCATCCAACAGTTTTAAAAATTCTTGGGGTAAGTTTTGAGGTTCAACCATGCCCACTTCTTTCTTTCTTCTTTGGTAAAAAGGAATGTGGGAGAATGTGTCATCTTTCACTCCTTGCTTTTCCTTTACCCAAAATTCAGTCAGCAAGTCCTGGGACTGTCTTCCTGAAATATCTGTGGGGTTTTTTGACCTCCTCTCCTCTTCCAGTGCTATAGCCTGGGTCACTGAAATTGCTTGTCTCTCTGTCTGTTCTGGTTCTTTAATTCAATCTCTACTCCAGCCAAGAGAACAAATCATATATTGTGACTCACCTGCTAAAAATTCAGTGCCATCCCATGCCTTCTGGATCAAATACATACTCCATAGTATGAAATACCTTGCTTTTTTTCTTACCTGCCTCAACAATACTTTCTTCTCTGCCACAGTCTTTTCCTCCCTCCCACTTTGTTTATCTAGTTAACTCCTACTAATTCCAAAGAACTGTCTCCCTCAAAATTCCTCCAATCTGTGCTCCTGATCTTATCTCTTGTTACACTCATAATATTATAAGTGCCTATTTATCTTCAATAAAGAAGTAAAAGAAGTTACTGCATAAGAAGCTCCTTGAGGGCAGGAACTGTGTTTCTTGTCTGAATTTACGGGTGCTTCCCATGTGCTCAGAATAGATGATGAGGCATTTCAGGGAAGAACAGAAGCAGAGGGAAGGAAGGATCCACCACAGGTACAGGGCCTGTTCAGGGAGTGCTGAAACATCACAACCGGGGCCCCTACCTGGGTGCATGCTGTTTCTCTGACTTATCCACCCCTCAGTCTAGCTGAATGAACCACCTCAATCCACCACTATCTACCCAGCTCCCGAGTGTTGGACAGGTGGCTGCCAGAATTAGGATGATTTGTTTCTTCTTCCTGGATACTTTTTCTTCCACTGGCTTACCCCACTGCCCTCATCCATCTAGATCAGTTTCCCCCAAGCGTATCTTATCCAAACTCAACCATGGAAAGTAGTATCATGTCTTAGATTGAGTCTGTCTGAGGGTTGGCACTTAGGAGGATCAAATACGATTGGTGGGGGGGTGGTGTCTAAAAGTTTCTCCTAAATCACAGAATGACATTTCCAAAATATGTTTTTAAAGGGTTTTTAGTAACTTTTATGTAAAGAAGATAATTCTATGATCAAATAAGTTTGAGATACAATAGGTTAAACAGAGCTAAACGGGTTTCTTTACTGTAGGATTCCCTTAAGCCTTAACTGTATTAACATGTTCTATGACTCTCCATGAGTATGCAGTGTTATTCAAACTAACATACCCCTGTTAGCACACATGGGACTAGCATTCCACAGACCACAATTGGGGAACTATCACAAAAATGCACTTACTTTATTGGCTGTTGATGACAATAATTGAAAATGTTGGACTTAGTACAAATGGGCAGTTCTACTGTCAATGGTGATTTGGTTTGTTTCTGACTCTCTATCCCAAATTCATTGCATACCCCCCCAATACAAATTGTTCAACTCCTGCATTTAAATATTAAAATTCATCTTTCCATGGAAGATCACTGATAGTTTCATACTGGGGTAAACGGATTCAAGGTGTTTTAAGGTGGCAAGGCCCAAACATCTTCGTAATTTCAAAAGCACAGAGTGTGGTTAAGTGGTACAAAGAATCATTCTTCTGTTGACAGTAATCCACATTACTATTATCTCTTTAAAATGGTTTATGGTTTAATGGAATTTCTTATTACGGAGGCGAAACTTACTAAAGCACTGGATTCTGCACAGGTTAACTTCATTTCAAGGTCTTGGGGGCCGGGGGTAGGGAAAGCTGGAAGTCTGCCTAAATTGAAAGTGGTTTTAAAGAAATACTAATGAGTGTAACATAAGAGGGCCAGGAGGCCGCTGCAAGGTGAAATGAGGACACATCATTCTGTATGAAGCACCTGTTTAAAACTAAAAGGAAAAACTTGATGAGACGGTTTTGCTAATTTTAAAATCTTGGTATATTTACTTTGATGTTTACCAGCACATTTATAATATCTTAGCCTAAAGAAGAGACTGTTATAAATCCTCCCTCACCACCAATGTCCCCTAATTAGGAAGTGTGGGAAGGAAGGCAAAGGGGAATAACTACCTGAGGGGCAAGTTCGGCTGCATGCTTTCCTAGTAGACTTTTTTTTCAAATATTATTTATTTATTTGAGAGAGAGACAGTGAGAGCGAGCATGAGCGAGGAGAAGGTCAGAGGGAGAAGCAGACTCTCTGTGGAGCCAGGAGCCCAATGTGGGACTCGATCCCAGGACTCCAGGATCATGACCTGAGCTGAAGGCAGTCACTTAACCAACTGAGCCACCCAGGTGCCCCCCTAGTAGACTTTTTGAAAAACAATATTCTTATGCTTAAACTAGTGTAACTGCCTTGATATGGACATTCCATTAAATTTATAATGTAAACTAAGCAAAAGCAAAATGTCTAAGGAAAAAAATGTAGTTATTGACTCTGAACAATGACTACGAGAAAGTTCCACTAGAAGGTTATCCTCGCCAGGAAACTTCATTAGCGCTTTTATTTAAATCAACAAATCTACATCTGATCTTTTCCCGAATACAAAAGCAACACCATTAAATATTAACTGATTAAGCTTATGTCCAAAGTATACTTCTTGGTATCTGTTTAAAAAACACACACCCAAACACTAAACGTGCAATTACAACAGCTACTTACTAGGAAACAAAACAAACAAACAACAACAAAAAACAACTAACAAAGGGAAACTAAACAAAGGTTTCTATGCTTCAAGTACATATTTCATTCTTAGGTCTTTTGTACAAACAAAAACCAAAGCTGCTAAAACTCAGGTGAAGTGCCTAGCAACGAGTACATATTCAATAAGTGATTATGGCTGTTTTTTTTTTTTTTAATAATTAGAACTTTGTGATTATTGCAAGAAAAATTTGGAATTCTTCCTTTGATGCTGGACAGGGCCAGCTGGGTGTATACCACTCAATTTTATGTCCTGGTGAGCATTGTGCCTAAAGAGCTTTGACATAATCGGTATGATGAGATAATCCCAGCTTTACTGGCTTGGAGAACATTCTAGTATTAGAGATATTTCCTCTCTGATTTGTGTGCTTGGTAGCTCAACTGAGAAGAGAGAATAAATCAGCCCTGTTGACTCTGTTTAATTAATAAAGACCCCATGGTTCATAAAGTGAGATGCTCCTACTTAGTATGAAAAATTTAGAGGTCTGGAGAATAAATGAGGCTGACTACGGAATGTAAAAATCTTCCATCTGAACATACACTACCTCTGGCAAATGTTCCTGCAGAGAGTGCATCTGACCTGATTTGGGGCGCAATCAACGGCAGTTCAGAGATATCTGAAAATCTAAAAAGCATAATACTACTTGCCTCTGAGTGTTTGCCAAATCTGTTGTTGGGAAACACTAATATTCGATCTAGGAAGAAGACAGTGTTGTGTTTTCTTTCTTCCATAATATTAGTAAATTGAAAGATATATTTTAGGGCCTATAAAAAAAAAAGCCCTAAGAGAACATGCTTTATTTTATTGGCAAAGAAATGTAAGTGAATTATTTAAATCCCATTATAATTACTCTCCTTATGTTTCTTACCCTCCTAGCATGCAAAATGCTTTCTTTCAAAATTAAAATTTAGGACAGCCTTTAAGAGAAAAGTGGTTTAAAGACAAAAAGTACACTAGCTTTGAAGAAATTCATTCTTAATAACTGTCTGTGATGATGAAAGAGGTTCTTCTGTTAAACTCCATTATAAATGTCACTATTTATATATCATCGTGAATTTAGCAAGGGTGCATATATGATTTTATCATGATGAAGATAAGGTTGCAAAATAATGTGATTAATTAACTTGCAATGTCTTTTTTGGGGGGGTGGGAGGTAATCCTACACATATAATATTCATATGAACAAGAAATTAAAGATAAGTAATATGTGTTAATTCAATCTGTTTCTAGCATCAATATCTTGGAATTACTGGAAAATTTTATAGCTGGCCATAAATGGCAAGTAGTAAAGACAATAAAAGATTTAAACTTAAAAAAGAATCCCAACTGAAAACAAATTGGAAAAAAAGAAAAAGAAAACAAATTGGAGGGTAAGAACAGAAAGTGAACCGTGTCAATAAAATTATTAAAAAGTCACCAAACCTTAGTGAAGCAGCACATAATCTTGCCAGACACTGGTTATGAGACTGACTAGGAATTAATAATAAGAAGAATCCATTCCAAAACATGCTTAAGAGAAAATCACAAGCTGTTTGTTCCCACTGACATATATAATTTTGGAAATATATCCCTAAATTCAAAATGGATATTTCTCAGTAATTAACTCTGTAAATATCACAATAATAGTTCCATATTTTGTAATTAAACATTTGGAAATCTAGTGGGACTCTGACCAAATATTAGCAGGATCCCATCCAAACCTTTATGGTCTTCAAGACAAACTTCTTTTTGCTACATATTTATGGCAATTTATATACAAAATATATATCTTTTGAAAATTGAAAACTAATTAAAAAACCTTTGTATCTCAGATATCACATTATTATAAGAATCTGAAGTTATCGTAACAAGTTACTTATGCATAGTATTGGAAAAAAATTGCTGTCTCTAGACCTGTAGAAGATGAACACTGAAAAGAAAATTCCTGAGAAAAATATGGAAAATATAAATTATATCCTTTTTTAATATCCTTTAAATCATATACACAGGTTTAGATTGCTGTCAATTACTGTACAGAGCGAAAACATCCCAGATCCAGAGCTGATACAAAGAAACTGTTCTACAGTCACAGATTACAGTTTTGGGCAACTCTTAAAAACTGATGCTGT